ACCCAAATTTAAAAAAGACGCCCCCCAAAAAAAATTAAAAAAAAAAGCTAAAAAAAAACTAAAAAAAAAAAAAAAAAAAAAAAAATGAACTAACACCAAGTCAAAAAATCTGTTAGACAACTGCATAGCAATCAAGTTACACAATGATTGCACTACATAACTAAGTTAAATTAACTAAATATTAAGTACAAATAAATGAGCCAAAAACACCAAGTCAAAAATCTGTTAACAATAGCATAGCAATCAAGTTACACAGTAAAGTCATTACAATTCAGTAAAACACTCACAAGTCCAGCAAACAAGTGATCTGCTTCCAATAAAGTTGCTCCTTCACTCTACCTGGCAGAGTCCAAGCTGCTGTGTCTGTCTTCGCCATTGCACATCTGTTAATGACAATCGCAGAGGAGGCACAGAATAGAACTTTTTTTTTTTACTCAATAGCAACACACGTTGCCTTTACAAAACAGGCATTCAATCACAAAGTCCATAGATAAGCTTTAAAAAAGTCAAATTACAGCAGCAATTCTTAGCTTTAACACTTCAGGTAAAGATGGACAGATTACATACTCAACACTGCTTCTGTCAACCATGTGCTCACAGGATTCAACAAAGGTCCCATCATCAGGAGTGGAACAACTTCATTAAACCTCTTCTTTTGAACTCAAACAAGATGAAATAAAGACATTACGTACAAACGCTCTCAGATAACTACACCATGTTCAAAGTGTTTAGCGCTAGCATGTTACAAAATGCTTCAATCAACCACTACTTGGTACTCTAGATAATTCCACATTCAACAATAGCTACATGTAACAACAATTCAACAAATACTTTATTTGGTTAAATAAATAAAAACTCCATCTAGCACAAAGAGAAATAAAGTTAATGCAATAAAACTACTACTTGTTCTGGCTGTAGTCAATCATCCACAGGTTCTCTTCTGCTTCCTTTTTTTCCTCCCCCCTTGGTTGGCAGCATTCCTGGACCTCCCTCTCACGTGCTGTTCTTTGGGCTCAAACTAAACAAAAGACAAACATAATACTCTTTTAAAAGGTCAACATTCAAACTTCCTGTGGCCTAAAAGAAGTTGGGAAAAATAATCACACTAACAGCAAAACACTTACTGGTTTAAAGATGGCTTCATGGGTAAGTCACTGCGTAGTATTTGTTCTTTCCAGCCCCGATGTCCTGTAAACATTTTACACTCTGTAAATGTTGTACAAAAGTTTAATGTGTATTTAGTTGAAAAGCTCAGAAATGGCCAGGGCGACGTCGTTCACGTAACATAAACCAGATGCTTCGAACTTCTTGGCGTCGTGGAGTCCACCGGTCTGCTGCTACACCTAAAAAAAAAAAAAAAAAGACTTAATTTCATACGTTCACGAGTGCGTGCACACACACACTTAAATAACGAAAACGTGTAAATTCGTACCCTTGTCTTTTTCATGGACGTCTTATCGATACAATTCACTACAAAGCGCAAGCACTGCGCTTTGAAGCAAACACCCCCCACGAAAGCCGCTGTTTCACTAACACACGTGGCTAAAGTCTCAACACCCAAAATGTTTGGACCACTCAACCAAAACGGTCTTCGCGCACATACTTAAAGGCCAAATAATAAAGCGCTTTCTCGTACAATTGAATCACACAGTCAGATTTAGTTTGAATGTGCAAACCGTGTGGCTCAAACAGGCACTGTTTAGCAGCTAACCGGCTTCCCCAACCCGCGGTTCCGTAGAGCCAGTATTCTGCAGAATACTGGTCATTCACATGAAGCGTTAATCGCCAAAGTGAAAAGAACCAAAGATGGAAATACATACCGTCGTAAAACAAACCAAAAAAACCAACCTTTTTTTTTCCCTCTTTGCTTTCACGCAGCGCCACTTCGCAACCATCACCAGGACGGAAAGTATTACCACTTCCTTCCGCTTTTAAAGGGCACAATGCGCCTCGTTATCCAATCACAAGCGTCCTCATTAGTTTGTCAAAACACACAAAAAAGAATGTGAATGTCAACTGTAGGGGGCGCGCTGATATTAGAAAGGTTGGTATAACGGAAGTAGAAATACGCTGCACGGCTCTTAGTTCCGGTTGCGAATTCGACGCAAGAAACACGTGTGTTAACCGTCTGGGCTTCCAGCGGGCGTTCAAGTAAAAAAACTGCTCAACGTGGCTACATCTGATTGATTGAAATGGTGAGTTTTTGCAAACAATTGTCGGTTGTATTTTGTGTGATATGGTAGTCCTTAGCTCGAGACCGTTAGTGCAATTTACGCTAGCATATGCGTCTTGGCAGCTAACGTTAGTTTTTGTCAGATGTTAAAATGATTCATAGTTACGTTTTCGTCCTAAACAATGAACATAGAGTTGTGTTTGTAAATAAGGAATTGGCCTTTGACGGGAGTTTGAGCTGGGCTGATGCACTTTTTGAAAATATGAAATTAACTTGCAA